CACACACACACACACACACACACACACACACACACACACACACACACACATACATGCATACATACCGACATAGTGACAACATCGCGGGGGTAGTCAGGGAAGCTTCCTGTGACCTTAAAACGTCAAAATCTGATGAAGACTTGATTTTTGCAAAACGAGGTAAAACCGATAACTTCCCGATCTTACGAAACCTTAAATTGCTGTAGGGGAAGTTATGAAGATATTTTGAGGACGAACCTCACAGTACCACTCAACAAGTCTTCAAAAGAACGACAAAAACTGATATTCTCATCACATTATTATTATGATTTTTATTAAAAATTTATTTCTTTTTTGAGTTATTTATCAATAATGATTCGTCCACTTTTGGATTTTCCAAATTGAATTTTATAAAATGTCGCAATCGTCAAAAAATTTATTAATAATTTATTTATTCCAAAAAGTAATAAATAAACAAGAATATTAAGAGATTTTCAAAAAACTTTGAAAATTAAAATAATTTTTTTAGAACTGTGGAATTTTTATTCACTTTGCTATTCACCATCGATCTGTTTCAAAATATTGGAAATAAATAATCCTAATTGATTATGATATTTGCCACTAGCTGGCGCATAAGTCAAGAAGCGTAGATTATATGACATTTACTTACGACCAATCGAAATTATTATTTTTGAACAGCGGAAACTACACAGACTATAGTAAGCGTTACTTCCGTCAGAAAAAAAATCTGAGTTAAGTTGTAACCTCATGATGACGCTTGACGCTAGCTTTCAGCGTCAAACTATAGCTCCACCTAGCTGAAATGAATAAAAACACTTGCAGCGTCAAACGCCAGCGTCAAACTAAAAAAATCAGCGGCAAAAAAATGTATGAATATCGAAAGTCGATATCTCGAGATATACCTCGAAGCTAGTCCTTAACCTAATTTTTATAATAACACATGGTAATTGTAAACAAATAACTTATGACAACAATAAATGTTAAACATTAATGAAATAATTACATCAAATTTAAGTAACTTATTAAAATTTCAATGGCAGGTGAATATGATTATCAATTGTGGATTTATCAGTGTCAAAAAATAATCCGTGAAGCAGAACTAAAAAAAAAATTAGGCGCAAAAGGATTATCAGTGCTTTATTATGCAATGAACTAGTTATACAAAATTGTAGAAAAAAATATACACAAAAAAAATTTTGGATTCATCCTTTATTTAAATTACGGCGAGACTATGGCTTTTTTGAGGCCATATTCCCAACTCTTTCTTCGTATTCTGAAAAAATTGAAAATTACATCCGAATGACAGCAATCCAATTTGAAGAGCTTCTATGTTTAGTTGGCCCGAAAATATCAAAACAAAAACTTGTAAGAGAGCCTATTTCAGCTCCAGCACGACTAGCTATGACTTTGCGGTAAGAATTTTTCAAAATAGTTGATAATTTATTTAGCGTAGTCATAATTGTACCATAATAACAATTAATTTCTAGATTTCTAGCAACTGGTGACTCAATGTCAACGATGTCGTATCAGTATTTAGTTGGGTTAACAACAACAGCAAATATAATTGTCGAAACTTGTCAAGCTCTATGGAGTTGTCTTAAAGAAAAAGTATTACCGTATCCTTTGACTGAATCTCATTGGCTGAAAATTGCTGATGAATTCGAAAAGCAATGGCAATTTCCACATTGCATTGGAGCTATCGATGGGAAACATATACACATACAGGTATATTTGATTTCATATAAATGAATTAGTTTGATGTGTATATCTGAATTATGTTAAACTATTATTATTATCATCTTAATTATTATTATTATTATTATTATATTATTATTATTATTATTATTGCAGTGTCCTGATAATGCAGGTTCTTCATATTACAATTATAAAAATAGTCACAGCATTGTATTGATGGCAGTTTGTGATGCTAATTATTTGTTTACTCTCGTTGACATTGGTGCTTACGGTAGAAGAAGTGATGGAGGGATTTTCCGGAGCTCAGCAATGGGTCAGAAGTTTGAGAATAGTGACATGAACATACCAAAAGCAGACTTACTAACTGTAGATGGAATACCTCAACCATATGTTCTTGTGGGAGACGAGGCGTTTCAATTGACAAACTATTTACTTCGACCATATCCTGGTAGAAGTGGTTTGAATAAAGAAAAAAGTATATATAATTATCGTCTCAGTCGAGCACGCAGAACTATTGAAAATTCATTCGGGATCATAGTGAGTTTATGGAGGATTTTAAAAAAACCAATTGATGCTACAGTTGAGAATACAATCGATATGATTCAAGCAATCATATGTTTGCATAATTGGCTACGCAAGCATGACAAAGATGATGTTTACATCCCACCTAATTTAGTAATTGATCAAGAACGCCCTGATGGTATAATTTCTAGAGATTTGAGGCATGAAGTTAACGATTCTGCTCTCAAAGATACAACAGCTTATGGCAATAATTTCAGTAGCAGATCTGCAGTAGCTGTTAGAGATGAATTTTGTGAATATTTAAATGCCGAAGGGGCTGTTCCCTGGCAATATAATCGTAAAGTTTAAATTGTAATAATTTTTTTAATACTGTCAAAAATCTATTAAAATCGCCTTGTATTTAAATTGTAAATAAATTGTGAATGCAAAATTTGTAATTATTATTATTTTTCAAAATTAAAGAAGGATTCAGCCAAAAAATAGATGAAAAAAACAATTACTGATAGATAAATCTATTTTTAATATCAAACTTTTATAAGAATTTAATGCTTAATATCAATAAAATACTTTTTTAATATTTTAACGCTTATACTTATGTAAATTATTTGCTTTACTAATTTTGTACGTATAGGTTATTTTTTTCTCGAATCAACTGTAAAATTTCAATAATGGTTTGCACTTGGACATCATCTGGTAGCTGTCGTAACTGATAGCCGATACCGATCAAAAATCCACCAACTTGATCCAATTTTGGCGGTTCCGGTAGAGCGACTGATGTTTTATCTTTACTAATAATATCAGCGATACGGTTGATTGCATTTACAGAATCCGCAATTTCCTGACGTTTTTTTCCTTTTGTATTGGCAGATTCTAAAAAATTTAGGAAATTTAGTTTAATATTTTCTTAGTGACTTGTAATTTCGAAAAAAATATATTTACTATTATCCTGGTCAGTACTTTCGTCAAACCTGTCGTCCACAGCATTTGATGAATCATTATTAAAGCTTTCGTCGTTATTAAAACCAGCGGTAGCATGTTCATCTACGTTTGTTCTAGTTCTGCAATTGAAAATTACGATTTAGTATTTAATTTATATTTATTTGTAATTAAAAGAATCTATCGACATAGTATCATGTAATTTAAAATATATGATCATACATACGGGCGAATTAAGCAAGTATCTCGTAGGAATTCACAACATCTGTAATATTTCCATTCATCAGTAGAATCGACCCTTGATGAACCACTTGGTTTGTTTTCATTTTGTATTATTTTACGATGAGTATCCCGAATATATTTAAATTTTTTTTTACATTCTTCAGCATCTAGCTTACCTGTCAAAATTAGTTTGCAGAGCGTAAGGTGAATGTGAGATAAAAAAAAAAAGAAAGCAATAAAAATTAGATTTTTTTTTAACCTTTCAATGCCATTGAAACCTCTTTCCACAAGTTTAAAACAGCTTCTCGGTTTCTTTCCTTGAGGGGAACATGATGGTTCCACAGAGGGACTCTTTTTTGCACCTCATTTATTAACAACTCGACTTCAGTATCATTTAATCGTTTATTTGGAGATACAGAAAATTGCGCTTTTGTTTTAACCTTCTTATTTTTGGAATTAGGAATTTGAAACTAAAATGAATATTGTTAATAGGAATAATTAAGCAAGTCTAATACTGAAACATCATAGTTAAATTAGTTTTAAAATACTTACATTGCCAGAGGTTTTGTTGTTTTCTTTACTTATTGAATAAATTTTCTCCGTAATAAGTTCCTCACGTCCATTTTCCAATAAAGCACGCCGGATTAATGTAACACCATCCTCTTTAAATTAAATACATCAAAACGATGAATTTTGTTAGTTGCTGTGCTATTTATTTATTTAATAATCTAAAAAATTGATAAGTTACTAACCTAGTAAAGGATAACAATAATGATTCTCATCGATATGATGATTTTTATATTTTTTTAAACATTTATGATCTAAGTAACTGTTGCAAATCTCCTCACATATACCACAAACATAAACTTGTGATATTTCCTAAAAATAAAAACAATAAATATTTTGAGTTTATTTTCTTACACAGTAAAAATGAAAAAATATTTCTGTTATAATTATCCGTTTAATTTTATATAATATAACCCGTACATCTTCCAACGCTTCTATATCTAGGTAATCTTCAAATAGTGCCATTTTTATAACAGAAAGTCAACAACTTTAATCTAATGTTTACATAAAAATTTATTTTTAAAATAAACAATAACAAGATTTTTAACTTATTCAATATCGATTACTATCGAGTTCGATTATATAGATTCTAAATTTCTGTTTAATCCTTAAAATAAAAAGCTAATTCGAGTTTAGCTTTTTACGATTTGACGCTACTAAGTTTTTTCCAGGTGGCAGCACAGCCTAAATTAACCACGTGACACAATTTGACGCTCATAACCAGCGTCAAGCGTCAGCATGAGGTTACACCTTAACGGCGGTTTTCATGAGGGATTAGAGGAAAGAGGAAAGGCGTTAAGGGTTTAGTGGGTAGGGGCGCTAGCGTCGAGTTTTAGTATGACGCTGCGTCGAGTCGCCACATATCCAGGCCAAACAACTACGCCTAGAATCCGTAAAAAGGATTCCCCCCCCCTAATGGAAAAAAAACACATACACACACACACACACACACATACATACATACATACAGACATAGTGACAATATCGCGGGGGTCGTCAGGAAAGCTTCCTGTTCTCTCAAAACGTCGAGATTTAATGAAAATTCAATTTTAGTAGAACGGGGTGAAAACAATAACTTCCCGATTTTTAAAAATCTTCGATTTTTTTAGCGGGAAGTTTATAATAAAAATGAAACGTAAAATTTAATTTATTTCCTCTTACAATTCGCCCAGTGAAGTGGGCGGGAACGGCTAGTAATAAATAATAAACATCAGATTTTCTGAAAATCAAATTCTAGCATCTAATTGATTATTAAAAAGTGTAATAACTTAAAAACCACTTAAGTTTTGAGAAATGACAAAAAAATTGTATTCTGTTAATTACTTCCACTATTCTAATTCGCTTGCCATGGAAGTAATTTTGAATCATCTCGTAAATTTTCAGGCAAATTTAAATGTATACCATATACACCCTATGAAATATATTTTTATATCTTCTAATATATATTCTCAGTATATATTCGCTGGTGTATGACTTTTTCTCAATCTAAGGTTATTTATGACAATGCGATAAGAGAGTAATTATTGACGTTATTGATTATTTCCCAGTAATGATTTTCAATACTACTGCAACAACTCTGCTAATTTTATCATTTTGTTACAGGTTTCTCATTACCATCGAGAACCACAATACTCTGAAGAAACAGTCTAATCCTGCTAAAGGACTGATTAATAAGTTACTTTAGAACCATTCCAAACTTGTGAAGTTAATTGTTACCAAAATAAAGTTCTCAATAGTCTTGAATTCATTCTCAAAGGATGTAATTGCACTCACAAAAGATTGTCATCGAAAACGCCATGAGTTCTCTTTTCAGATGTTTTTTCACAATATTTCTTGTTAATAAATTCGTGTTTTTAGTAGTAATATCAAATCATAAAACAAATGAAAAATTCTAAATCATTTATCGATGACCAACAATATCCATTTCCTACAATATCTATTCCTTAATTTTTATTTTAATTCTAATTTAGAGCTTATCTGAATCACTAAAACCATCACCATTCTCTGATTGCGTTTGAAACATGGATAGCGCATTAATTTATAAATTATGGAAAATGATTAATCATCCATGTTATCACTGTGAAATTTTATGACTATCAAGCTTAAAGCAACAAGGAAAATATATGTATGGTAACAGAAAATATTTATTTGAATTATAAAATATAAATATCTTGAGTTGGCAAGATCTCTGAGGTCAACATAAGTAGGGCTTTACACGAGACACGATACGATGTGACTTCTGAGAATCTTATGTCAGTCTCGTAAGTTTCGAAAAAAATGTCTCGCTTAGCTATCGCTCTCGTATTGTCACCAGTCCACGTTTTGTCTCGAAAAATATCGTTATATCGAAAAATTTAATTCAAGTTATTAACAATTTGCCATAAAGTGATTTTTTATGTTGTTGTTGATAAGCACGTGAATACTATACATTGTAATGATTTATTGCTATATCAAATTCTTATTAACATCTATAATAATCAATCATGATTCATTGATAACTAAGCTAACTTACTTGCCGTTCATGATTTTTAATTATATCAATTAAATCACAGGACGTCCGAAAATTTAATTATATCACCGTTAATATCCCTTCATCTTGAATAGATAAACGGGAAAAAAATTTCAACTCTTTACTAAATACGTATGATCTACTTTTGAGAAAATAAATTTACAGTGTATATTTTCTATGTTTTGGGCAAGTTAAAATTTCAAACAATGACATTGTATGTTGTAGATGAAAAAATTAGGAAAACGGTTGAACCTAAAGGCCATCCCTGAAACTTCCCGCCAATTCTGTACCTAAACACTCGAAATTGCACTTATGACGTTTTTGAGCTCTTGGAGCTTATCAATACAATTTGTGTGTTATTTAGAGCTCTCCGAGCTCAAAAAAACAGCTTTTGTATGCTTTTGAGCTCTTCAAGCTCAAAAGTTTGATAGCAGTTTGATAAAAAACTATTATTTGAAAGAAATCTAATAGGGGAAACTACAGAAGGATCACAAGAATACGCCGTAACGGCTGGCGTGCCGCAAGGCTCAATAATGGGGCCTGATTTATGAAACGCGGACTATGACGAGATTCTTAAGATTCCGTTACCAAAGCAAGTAGAGCTAACGGGCTTTGCAGACGACGTCGCGGCCACGATAATAGTAGACAGCGTAGAAGAGGCCGAACTACTAGTTCGGGAAACCATTGATGCCGTCGAGACTTGGCTCGACAAACACCACGTGAAACTTGCCAAGCATAAAACCGAGACTAGCGACGCAGAGAATAACTGCGAAACAAACGATATTTACAAACGACACCTTTCCAAACGACGAAGCGATGACTAGCTGGGATGTTCTAACTGACGGTCTCCCACAACCTGATTAACCTAGTTGGGCTTTTTCAGAACTAACGGTCTCCCACACCTGATTACAACTAATTTGGGCTTTTTCAGAACTAACGATCTCCCACACCTGCCTAAAACTAATTGTCTTAATTCTGCAGTACCCTCACTTGAGCGTCTATACTGCAGTTCCTATCTTATTGCCGCTGTACCCCACTTGGCGTCTATACAACAGCTTCTAACTACGTCGCGCTGTCCACTCGGCACACACGCTCTAGGATGGTCTCAGACAACCCGCACGATCTCCACACACATAACCCACACTCTTCTTCACTCACATATCCCGCTCACACACACACACACACACACTGACTCTACTTTACTTTTATTAATAACAATATCACAGAATTTACTTCCAAAATTAACTACATTAATTTTCCCCTAATTATTCAGTCATTAGCTAACAATTAAAATTATGAATTATTTCCACGACTAATAAAATAAATTCATCGATAACTCCGACTTAAATCGACGCCTAAACTTCTTCCAAAATTACCACGAGTTTAACTCAGCACATTAAATAAATTCTAAGAATATTCTTTCTATAAGTTAACTAAATTTTCTCGGACGTGATCCACACTGACAAATAGTTTTACAAAGAATTTTATCGGAATGATGATATTAAGTTATTGACAAATTTTCCAGAACATGAGTTCAATACATAAAGACAACCCAAGTAGAAATTGGCAATTAAATTAGATCGTTAATTAGTGATTTTCTCAATATAAAAATTAATTGCCTAACGTTTATCTACGGGTATATCAGTCTTATCTGCGCCAAGACTCAGCAAATTAATTCTCAATAATAAATAACATGCTGAATAAATATTTTCTGGTAATTAAGAATGTCAATTAATGACGATTAATGATAATTCAATTGTTGTAATTTATAATAATAGTCCAATTGTTAATTTTACGATTTCTGCGTAGTAAAATTCACAAAGGAATTTGCGCGCTCAAAATGGACGCCGGTGTTCGTAACTGCGTAGCACGTTTGACCTCGGGTACCGAGTACCACGTCGTACCATAATTCTGTAGAAGACGACTGTAACTTTTCTCGATGTTCAGAATTAAATAAATATTTTTTTATTAATAAAAATGAATTTATTTAAGCCAATCTAGAATGTTAATAATTATTAACCGGCCGGACTAATAATTTAATTATTCACGACTTCTAAACCCAAGAGGTCTAGAACATTCCTTGGGCATAAAATCCCCAAGAGGAAATGCTCTCAGTGCTAACGAATCAAATCAATTAAAATAAATAATTATTCTTAAGCAAATTATTACAAAACCATTGAATTACCAAAAATTAAATTAATAAATGAGAAGTAGTACAATTAATGAGCCGGGTAAACAACCCCAACGCTCATTATTATCAATAGGGCCAGGGACTTCGTTGGAAGGGGGTAAACTAACACATACATAAAAAAAAGTGAATGACACGTGCAATTAAAAGTAGTTGGTATTTGGTAATGTTCAGGTATAATAACAACTAAGTTCAGATGGCAGCGAGAACTGTCAATTGAAATATCAGAACCTCACCAAACCTACACGGTTTTTATTATAAGTGTGCGAAGGATGAGCCAGAATGATTTCTGCAAACCACTTTTAAATTTTTTATTAAAATAAATTGAAAAATTTTCAAAGATTTAAAAGGTTCACCCGACCTCTGTATTTTTTAAGTAGCCACATACTCCTGTAAAGTCAGAGGTTTAATGAATAAAAAAATTTTAATTTTAGGGGTTAATCGCATTCGCGACACTACACAGAACGAAAAAGTTTTGGCCTCAGAAAAAAATCTTGACTCATGTAAAATTTTTGATTGGAGTTTAAAGACCGAAATATTCTTGAATGGAGTGAAAATTTTTCTTAAGATATAAATCTTGAATCAAAAATTGTTTTCTGCATTCAAGATTAATTAACACTTTAATCAAAACATCTACATTTTCGTTGGAGATTTTTAATTTTTTTATTCAAGCAAATGCTTTTTAGATAAGATATCAGCGCTTCTTCAGATGAGAGCTTATTAACTTCATTCAAGAAAAAAATTCGAAAAGGCGGTTGACCCTGCAGG